CGATTTCATCTTCAAAGTACACGTTCCAAACAGAATAAACAAGTAACTGGGCCTCCAAAGATTTCCAGCTGGGCCAGTTCAACAGGCCCAATGGGCACTTGCATCATTGTGCCAAAATTTCCTTTCAATATATATATATATTACACGCATACACGAAGAGGAGAAAACAATTGGAGTTTTATTTTTTTGAAGTCAAAAAGGTGGCCGAGAGAAAGGAAGGAGAAAAGAGACAGAAAAGATGAGAGAGAAGAGAAAACGGGTTGCTGCTGGGAATATATATACATGGAAAAGGGAGGGTGGAAGGAGGGAGATATAAACGCATATGCACAAAAAAAGAAAGAGAGAAAAGAGAGGATTGCGGCTGCTTAAAAGATCTCACACACACACACACACACACACACACACACACAAAGGCGACTGCAAGGAGGGAGATATATAATCAGAAAACGAACGCAGAAAGGAGGGAAAAAAAGATTTAAGTTTTTTTCAACATATTTATTCAAAGAATCCGATGATGTATTCAAAGACAATTTTTTATATTTAATTTTATATTATGAGTAACTAATTTTCATATTAGGACAAACAATGTAGTCGACTTGTGATCATTTATCCTTCTACTCAACATTTCTATGATTTATTCATATATATGTTGGTTTTATGATGAGTTTAATGTATTGAATTAATTGATCACTAATTTGATGATTATATGAGTCTCTTACGAATCGAGGGGTAAGTTTGAGATTTAGACCATATAGTAAAATTCGGTATAACGTGTAGAGATATATATACTAATTATTGTAGTCATAATATGAATTCTTAGAACTAGTGTTTCTTTTAACTAATGTTGATTTACATGGAGATATGAAATTTAATTAGTTAAATAGGTTTGATGAAAACTCGAGAGTGGTAAATTGAATACAATAGAAGAATTCAATCGAACATTACATTAAGTTATGAATCTTGAATTAAGAATTAAGGTGATCAATAGATGAAATTGTTATGCTCTGATATTTATCCCATATTTGAATATTTAATCAACCGTTATTTGCAAAATTTTGATATTTTCAAATAGTTAAAAATAGTTAGAAAAAATAATCACCACTATCATAATTCTTTACTTGCTCTAATCAAATAAGAGTTAGAAAAATTAGATTAAATCCTAAAGTATAGTTTTCATGAGAATGATATCCGGATTCAAAGATCCAATATATTGCTTGTTACGATATCGTACACTTACGAAATAAAAAAAACAATAATACTGCGCATATTTCATGACTATATACCATATATTCATGAAATATATTCAAAGTATAGGATCTAATTTATCTTTATTAATAAAGCTTGTCTCATCTTTTATTTCATTTTAGATGTCAAATATCCCAAGTTTGCAGCATTCCCAAGCAATAGGTTATCCTCTTCACCCCATAGTTGCTCTTCAAATTAGATGAGAAAGGCGACTTAATTTATCTAAGTATTATTGATTGTATTCTTGAATAACTTATGTGTCTTATTTGTAAGTGTAGTTGCAAGTATGCTGAGCACTGTTCAGCAATAACTTCCTTTTATTCACTTCCACCTCTTAAGCCTCCCCCTCTATTTCCAATAAAGAGTGGGGGCAGGAATGACCAGTTAAGGTTTGGGTAAGTGAATGAATATTTTTTTAACATTTTTCCTTTTTCAGTTGAGAACTGACAAAATGAAAAAATATTTTTAATCAGAGTTATGTTTCTCTCAAATACGTGAGCAGTGACTTTGGTAACTGCCCATTATCACACCTTAAGGGTTCAATATTTGGCATGCATCATAGGAGAAATGTTGAGGCCAGCATGAGGGAAAGCTTGAGACAGAGAGCTTGTTGGAATCAAAATGTGCAAATTATACTTCTCTGAAGCCAGTTTGCATTTATGGACCATTGAACTAAAATCCTGTTGAAAAATGGTTCTTCCACCATTTCAAAGCAGGTCGTCCTATTCCAATTCCCAATGCAAGAATGCAACACAACTTGTTCATGTAAAGGTTAGTGAAGGTTTCAACAATTCTAACAAAATCTAAAACTAAATTTTCGAAGTACAAACCATTTATTATTTATATAAGGAGATGTAACTTATGATTACATAATGACCGCCATCAACTGGAATTTTACTCTTTTTTTTTTTTATTATTAATTTAGGCAAATGAAAATTCACTTCATAGGGGCAATGCTTGTGGGTCTTGATAAGTTTGGTAATAAATATTATCAAAAACTTGGAGACAAGTCAAGTGAACATATTCCCTTTTTTTATATTATGAATTGCTGTGTAGAAAAAAACAATTGAGTGAACGAGAATGAGTATGATAAACTTCATTTTATACACTTAAGAATATAAAATTTCACTAAAACGAATAATTATTTCTTCTCTGCCTAACCAACAATGAATGGTTGCACAAAGCCCACTTCGAATTGCATGCTGAGCACATTTCCATTATTGTGTAGACAAAACACAATAAGTGGGCTCCACCACTTATTCGGGTAGAGAAGATGTTTAAAAACATTCAAGTAAAAAAATTTGTGGCGCCCAAGTTCCTTTCAGAGACAAAAAGCTGGGACATTTACAGTTTGTTATTAAACAATTGTAGTGATTAGAAATTAGTAATTACTCATAAAAGTTATTTAACATGAAATTTTTTTTAAGTTATTTTGAAGTGGACAAATCTGGCTGATTTCGGGTTTGTTACTCAATGCCTGATGTCCAGCAGAGTTAATTATCAATCTCGGACCAATCTTGTGTTGAAGATCAATGTAGAATCAAGATGCTCAATGAAATTGTAGTTTGTGTTAAATATTATGAGATTTTGTCTTCGATAATTTTCAAATTCTGTAATTAATATCTTCTGTCCCTTTCATATTTATGTTTTCTAGTTAGGTGGCTTAAATTATCTCTTAGGGTTCGTTTGATTGTAAGGGTGGAAAATGTGTGGAAAGAAAATGTTTTACAGGGAAAATATTTTCCTAGAATTTGTTTTATTGGGAATTGTAATTAATTGTGTTTGATAGGTATAATTTTTCAGCTAGAAAATGTTGAAAATTTGGCATCTGTTTGGCTTTGTTTTTCATGGAAATTGTCCATTAAAGTAATAATTTTTTTTACCATTGAGTCTAGAATTTGTTCCACTTACCAAAAAAAAAAAAAAAAAATTTAAAATTTCTTAAAAAAAATTACCATACCGAATATCATTCGTTTGACTTTGTTTTGCTTAAAAATTGTCAATAAAAGTGATACATTTTTTACCATTGCATCTAGAATTTTTATTCAATTGCAA